TACCGTGGTAGTACAGAACTGGCTCGTTGTCGAGATGGGGTAGATAGCAGGGCAATGTGTTTTCCAAGATGTCAAGTCTCTTGGACACATAAATGCTTCACACATGTAGAAGAAGAAATAGTCTCCTTCCACGACTTGGATTGGAAAGTGCCCTGCAAAGGTGCTCCTGTAACATTAAATTAGAGAAATCACAGAAAAAGCCATAGCTCTCTGAGAAGTCCCTGCTGTAGCTTTTGTTCAGTCCCTCAATGCCTCTATGGCTGCGGCCATAAACATACATGAAGCTGCCCATGATAGACGATCTGGTGCCCACAGGCACTTTCGGAAGAAAGTAATGAAACATAAGCTGCTGATTCTGTATGCAACCCAGAGACACCACATAATCTATTCTGGAAAGTCTGGTGGCAAGAGAATTGTATAGATCTCTCATCAGGACGAAACGTAAGACTCTCCCGGATGCATAATATAAATCACTTGCTCGCTATAGTTTTCTTCCTTTCGCTGCAAGGTGAGGTGAGCAAGAAGTAAAGAGAAGCCATTCTTAACAGGAGACGACGGTAACCTAGCATGTCCACAGTCCGGGTTTCTCTCTTCGTGTATTCTTTGCATTCCAAAGGGTCAACTACCACACACCTACCATATCGTCACCCAACGCCCCAGCCTTCACGTCAAGCACGAACATTGTATATATTGTATAGATACGAAACTTCTAGCCAAAGGTTAACGACATAGACTTCTGAGTTCTTACAACAAGAGGTACCAAAATATATGACAAAGTATATGACCATGTGACCGCGTGGTGTTTCTTCCATCTTCCAATTTAATTTTCAAAGATTGTATTTAATTTGACTTGATTTTTTCTTATACTAATAAATTTTTTACAAGTGAACATAATCACATATATCCTAAGTATTACTGTAAGTTTAGAGTTATTGTTTGAAAGATGATGATATCTTGCCTTCATCTCCCAAAGAAGGTTGGTAACAAGTAACAAGATCAGCAGTATGATGGAGTATAAAACTTTCACTTGTACATATCGGGGTGTTTTTTTTTTCCTACTTTTAAGACCATTTGATTTATTGGGTTAGCGTTTCTCTCACTTAAGTATATACACATTGAACATCTTTAAACTTACTTCAAGTTGAAGCTAAGGATCCAATTGTTTGAGACGACCAAGTCTACGACCCTGTCATCATACAGAGATGGTCGCAGTATTTTTGCATTTTCATTTCTCTATCGAAAAGGAAATTAAGAGCTTGAGCATACTTGATCCATGCCTACAATTCAAAAATTGTGCAACCATGGAAGAAGTGTATCAGTTTGTGATGATTGTTAGGAGTACAAATACCATTTTATTTTTATTTTTATTTTATTGCTCAACTCTTAATGTATGGATGTGGATGATGGAACATGACATAGGATTCTCGTGTCCATTGGATATAGGATATGTAATGGGAAGTTTTTTCATCTACAAGCACATACATGACTCTACGATCTCGTACAAAGCAGATGCAGGAATCGACGTCGAGAATCAACGATGTCCATCAATATCTAACCCGCACCAGTATCCAACGTTTGACACAGGGAAACATTTGTCATAATTATGACATAAATATCATGAGTTTTCGTGTTGGAGTTTATTTTCACAAGTGCATCAAAAGTTGTTGTCCCATCTAAATCACATGATGAAGACATCAATCACATCATGCAGCTTTTCTAGTGGCTCGACCATCGGCCTCCCCTGTCCATCGGAGATAGTTGCTTGGAGCAGGCACATACTTGGTCTTCGTATGCATGCAATGGAAGGAATAAATGTTTCTCTTCAACTCTTTACTTCATGCATGCTTTCTATGAGCTGTAGCATCCGGAATCATATCATTTCTGGAGAAACGTCCTTCAACGAATCATTCTTCATTCTTCCCTTCACATGTGTCGGAACCTGTTCCAATTTGCAGAGTCGAAAATCATGTACTCTACACACAAGCCTTGACTTGAATCATATCCTACATGGACGTTACAATTCCAAGTTGACGGGGACATAGAGAATCGGGACGACTCGTAACTTGTAAAGGCAAAAGTAGTTTGTTGATAAGGTCTTCAAATCAAACCACTCATGTCAGGGTGCGATGATCCCAGATCCAAGTTGTAGTGATAGTGTGCCTCAGGAGGTTTATTAAAGCACGTGCTTCATGCAAAATACATGTGTTATTTCAGGAGTCCCAACTTCCAAGAATAGGGATTTCTCATGATTTAATCCATGACGTTCATAAGTTCGATAATATGGCCACCATGCCTCTTGTCATCTGAAGCTCACCACTGTTCTTCCGGTTGACTATTTTTTCGTAACGCTGCTGGTCGAACCCGTGTCGACATGTAATTGTCATAAGTTGGATCCAAGCTTTCAACCCCACAAGGAGGCTGTATGCTTGTGGACTTGAATATCACGTTAGCAGGTATATTTTGCTTGGAATTTGAGCCCAGAAATCGATAACGGAAATATGGCGGTCTGAGTTTCTCTGGATATCTCGACAGACGATGCTCTCTAGTGTTTAATAAAAAAACACAGAAAGCCAGAAAAGAAAAATGAAATGTGAAAAAGTGGGGAAGTACTCCACAAGCATAAAGCACCGTGCACATGAATACATAGAAAAGCACAAAGCATACAAGGAAAACCAGTACAGAGCCAGCTAAATTGTGAAAGATGAAAATAAGAGAAAGAAGTATCTCCGGGGAACACGGTGAAATGTCGAGGCATATATTTAGAGGAGGAGCCCACAAAGTAATGGAATAATCCTCGGATTAAAAAAATCATTACCTAGTTCCTGAAATTCGACTAAAAAACTGACGTCATTGAAATAAATGGGACAACTATGCGATTACTGAAATTCGAATCCGGGCTTCAAATATCAACAACGCAAATTGAAACAACACTTTTTTCCGATGCCGTATGTACTTGGAAACTTACAAACAAACAGCATGTTCGGATACATAATTATATTTATATTTAATGATTACTTTAGAGACTTTCAGGTGGACGATGTGACGAATCTGAAATTTCGTCGGGCATGGACTTCCAGCGGAAACTACTTTTGTGTAATTTAAACGATGACTGTTATGGCCCTTCAACCTCTGGGGGCGTGTGCTCGAACCTTCATGGGTACTTTGGAAGCAGTGCTGGAAAAGATGTCTTGGTAACGTCCGGCGTAGCTACAACCATCTGTTGATCTCAGAAGTGTGCCATTTGTTTCGAACTACTTGTCATGAACTTCCCGCCGGAGCTTGCTTTCTGGTATTGGTGACCCAAAACTGTTGCCGTCCATCACGACAATCTCTCCATCCTCCCCTGCATTAGTGCACAAATCGAGCTCCAACGACCTACGAAGGAAGCCAAATGCCCAGTCCTCGGCCTAGTTGCACGAATTCAGCAAATCTGAATCGCTTTTCGGTCAAGCCAATAACTTCACCAGTGGCTGTATTGGTGTGACAAACGCAGGCTCCAAATCTCTCGCACCAGGCCATTATCGCCATATTCAGTCTCGCAGATACTGCCAAAAATTCGCCTTCAAGGCTATTGGTGATCGGCAAATTGTCATACCCTCCGGGGATCAGAGACTCAGAGACAGCCTAACAAAAAGGCGAAGCAAGCCCCTTATTATGAATGTGAATACCATTCACTGTCAGCAGCAAAGCCTCGGAGCATTAACGCCCGAGCACTACGTTTGATTGGTCAGAGCCAAGTGCGCACATGTGCTGCTGAGTGGACGACAACACAGCAAGAGGACGACGACACTGCCAAGTCGTCCCGATGGACATGAACACGTCGGCGTCCTGCCAAGTCACTTGCTGCTACCGCCCCGCCCCTCGGTGCCCGTGGCAGATGCTTCCGGTCGAGTTGTCTCATGTTACCGGATATAGCAGGTGAAGATAAGGCACGTGCCTGTTTCCCCCGCCTAATCTCATAAACCGAAGATCATTCTTCCAAAGGGATGCCAACGTTGTGCGTCCATGTCCCCGGATACATCTGATGCTCCGCAGTCAGATTTGAATACGTATCGATACGGAAGCAAGCGACCGTATGAAATAATCTTCCTCAAAGCTCGAAGTGGAGGTAAATTTTTCCTTTTTTCATATATAAGTCTGCGTTCAGGACTCTGCGGGTGATTGATTGAAGGCGAGCATACACTAGGAAAGGATTAAAGAGTGAGAAAGGGGAGCAATAATGGGACAAGGGGAAAGTTGCAATAATTCTGTGGACAAGGGCATCATCTCTATTCACTTTATTTCAGATATTAATCTGCACGAAGGTATACGAGCGGAATACAAGGAAGGAGCGGAAGGCAAGGGATGTGGGAAAAGTTTAGAAAGGGGCTCATAAATAATTAAGCGCCAGGTGGGGGAGATTAAAAGGAAATGGAAAGGAAATGCAAAGCGGAATAAAATAGACGGGAAAAAACATTCCAGGGTTCGGCGGAGTCAGTCGAAGGGCTCAATAAATGTCATGTCATGTCATCTTTGTCCGTGGCCCTTTCCTGGCTTTGCTCCCTATCTCTCGCCGGGCCTCGGCTCGGCCCGGCCCTCCGTCAGATGAGGCCTCGGACCCAGATCTCTCGATGGTGCCCTCGTGATCTGTGCACCGGGGGATTGCCGGCGAATGGCGAGTCAGAATTCCGGGAGCATTTGGAGGAGGTTTAAGAGAGTTTTCTCTATCCGAGAAGGCGATGGAGAAACCGGTCCTCGGCTCGCGGACTGGCGGGCGAGTGCACCTCCTCCTCCTGGGCGCTGAAGGAACGGGTCGTCCGGACGAAGGAGGAGGACGGACGGACATCCGACCAGGAGGGCCCAGGGCGGAGGATGCCGACGGACGGAGTGAATGCGTTGTTGGGCAGAGGGGGACCAAGGAAGGAGGGCAGGGCAGGGGAGCGGGTAGGGTCGGGGGGTTGCGGGGAATGATGGCCCAGTACATTATGGAGGGAACTTGGTCCCTGGAGAATGGAAGGGGAGAGCTTGCTCGTTTGTGCTCTCTCTCTCTGTGTCTGCCCTGCACAATTTGATTGCCGATGGGGGGAACTTAAGATTGAGAGAGAGAGAGAGAGAGAGAAAGAGAGAGGAAAAGTGGCAGAGCTCATCAGCAGCTGTTGCAGTGGCAGCAGTAGCAGGAAGGGAAGGGAAGGGAAGGGAAAGGAGGAGCTTGAGTGTCGAGGCTGGTGGGAAAAGCCGTGGGCGGAGGAAGGCACTTCCGTTATCGGCGTGCGAATCCAAGAGTGAGAGCGAGAGGAACGGATTGAGAGAGAGAGCCTGGACCAGTTTTTTATTTATTTCCATGGTCTGGATGTTCGAAAAAGAAGCATCGCTTTTGAAGGAGGAGAGTGAGACTCTACCTCAGCCTGTATCTGCGCCAAGCTCGGGCCATGGGCAGACGAGGCGGCAAGCTGATTAGAATCATGGAGCAGCAGCAGCAGCAGCAGCAGCAGCGAGGGGAATAGGATGGGAATTTCGGAACAGAGGCCGGTTGATGAGGCGGCTGCGTGCGACTTGCAAGAGCAGGCGCTGCCCAGCGCAGAGCGATAAACCTCGGCACAAGGCAGGCATGAGTATCAGGAATCTGCCAGGGACGGGACGATGAGACGTGGGGACAGTCTCACGGGGAGCAAGATGGATGACTGAGCAAGTCGACTAGTTCCGGAACCGGATACGATTGTGTTGTCGATGAGGTGAAAGAGACTTTTGATGAGTCGGTGAGAGCTTCGATTCTGGCGCATCGTCCTGACCTGAGGAACCCGACCTCCAAGGGTCCAAGGGCGTCTGCCATTGAGTCCATTTCTGTGTCCAAAACCTTCATGGGGACCAGACTGCCCCTCGAGGCCTAGCGGGCTGAAAAAGTAGCCGGAACAGTCGGTTTGATCAATCCTCGATCTCTGCAGTAGGTCGCCGGCGCATCCCCTCTGCCCTGTCGGCTGCCAAAATTCTTGCGCTGCTGGGGTTTATCGCATGAGCAGCGAGTCACTTCGCGCGCCTCCGGTTCTGGACGAGAGCAAATTTTCCAGGTGTTGGGATTAGGCTCAGAGCCAAGAAGAGCGCAAAGCACTCGCGAAGAGTTGCGCCGAAGGGGTAGTGGAGGGGAAGAATATGGCAATTGATCCGGAAGGGATGGCGGGCGAGAGTCGCGAGCGGGCGAGATTTCAAGTCCATGGAGGCAGGAGCTAGAAGGCGACGAGGGAGGCTTCTTCGTCGTGCGGAGAGAAGAGACGAGGGGCGGAATGGGCACCAACCGCTTCACCGGCAATTGCAAGAAGGGCCCGAGGTTGATTCTGCGCAACCTGATGAAAGGATGCTGGACGCCGAACGAGGTGGCTCCGATGAGGAAGATAGTGGAGGAGGAGAAGCTGAGCGAGCTGTCGCTGCTGAATTCGCTGCCCGAGGACCTGTGGCTGGAATGTCTGGCGCGAGTGCCGCGCAGCTCGCTGCAGACGTCGATGATGGTGTGCCAGAAGTGGCGGCACACGCTGAAATCGGGCGAGTTTTACGAAGTGCGGAGGAAAATTGGCATGGTGGAGAATTTGCTCTTCGTCTTCGGAGGGGCGGGCACGGGCCTCGCGTCGGCCGTGTACTGCAAGAGCTCGGGCGGGTGGAAGGCCGGGCTGCTGTGCACTGTGCGAGCGCTGGAAGAGAACGACTGGCTGCTGAATTACCACAACGCCGATCACTGCCTGCTGCACGCGCAGCCGGCCGTGGTCAAGCACCGGATTTTCGTGCTCGGGGCCATCCCATCCTGCGCTGCCGTGGGCGAGCGCGAGTGCACCATCGTGTACGACGCATGGACCAAAACCCTCACTCGAGGCGCGCCCATGATTCATCCGCGCAAAAAATTCGCCTGCTGCGTAATCGCCAACCGGATTTACGTCGCCGGGGGCTGCAGCCGCGACGAATTGAGCCAGGAAGCATTGATGGATGCCGAGGAGTACGACCCGGAGCTCGACCTCTGGAAGCCCATCCCCAACATGCCCAAGAAACGCTACGGCTGCCTCGGGGCGGCGGTGAATGGCATTTTCTACGTGATCGGAGGCTTGAAGCTCAGCAGTATGTCGGGTTTGTGTATGCAACCGTACGCGTATGTGGGCTCCATGGATTCCTACAACCCTAGAACCAACTCGTGGCTCAAAACCAAGAGCCTGCCCATGGGAGGGTGCGTCATCGCTTGCACGGTGGTGAGATCTTCGATCTACATGCTCTCGAGCTTGGCAGTGGAGCTGTCATTTTGGAAGTACGATACCGAGAACGAGCTTTTCAGCAAGATAAATTCCCCGCCCATTCCCTCGCCTCTGAGGATCGACAATTATCTCAAGTTCTCGTGCGTGACTATAGAAACTTCCGTGTATATTATCCAAGTCGGAGGATCCATCGACGATCTCTTGCGCCGGAGTGGCCGCCATGGCCGGGGTCTCAAGGAGGGTCTCGTGCTCATCTACGACACGATTTCCGAGGAATGGTCCAGGGGACCCGATTTGCCGTATGTGAAAAATGGGGCGACGTGCGCTGTTGTCTTATGCTGATGCAAATTCGCCTGCCCCATTCTCCCGGACGACGAAAGCCATAGACCCACAGATGTGCAGTCGTTTCCATTGACACCGAGCCGCATCTGGAGACGAGACGACAGAGTAGGGAGTCTCTAAGGTTTCAGAGTAACCTCAGAACCGACCGACGGTAGACAGAAATTCAGAGAAACCTCTTCAGGTGATGCTTGGATTCTGTCTCATGGAATCCACGGATTTGTTTCCTATTTTTGATCCTATTTTCCAAGTTCAATCTGTTGTGATTTCTTTGACCCAGTTCAGTCCCTGTGTTTGAAAGCCTTGTACTCTATATTCATTCGGCACCAAAAGCACTCAGGAGGTAGGAAGTAGGGCCTTCCGGAAGCTTTTATAGTCGCCCACTTCCCATGGCTTGTTGCAAAGAGGCTAAAGAGCCTCACGATCATATGATTAATTTCAACGAAAATGAAACATACCTCGTTCTCCTCAAGTCCAATTGGCACGGAGATTTTCAAGTCCAATTCAGTTTTCGTTCAGCTGCGAGCAGTAGCAAGTCTGTGGCTTTACTCTTTGTGCGCTGTTCGTCTATAGACTCATGCTTTATAGTTTGGTCGTGATTGAAGGAATCCGATTTTTATCAACGAACTGAGTGTATTGCGCCGAAAGGAAGCTCAACTCGGGTCCCCATTCGTTCTATGCAGGAGCTCATTAAACATCCATTTCTTAATTGTGCCATGCATGTCGCGTAATTGACGTGTGTTTCACCAGAGCACAGCACTGTCCTCGGGGTCGAGTACGACGAAGTTGGGAGGATGTCATACTGTGAGTATGGTTATCGTCTTTGTCATGATACGTGTCTTTTGACGAGGTCCAGCAACTTCTGTTAGGTAGATACTTGTACAAATTTCATTGGATCACTTGGTCACACAGCACTGGGAGAAGTTTTCTGTTACATAGACCGGGAAGCCTTCATGACCGGAGAATATGCAATGTACAGTTTCTCTGGAATGAGTCATTAATGGAGACATGCCTGCCACCCTCTGGGTAGCAGGCCACAGTATTCCCTGCGGTGCCGGTGGGTCGTCTGGTTGCAACAATATGGCATCAGGAACAACGTCCGAGATTTCGGGACCGGCAAGACCAACGCCTCGTGTTTGAGGATTGTTTGAGGATGATTCGAGGAGATCACTGTCCAATAGTCAAGGAGGTGGTGGTAAGCTGGATCCACGAATTGGCCACAGTACACTGTTTATGCTAAAACTTTGTTTGCTTTGTGTTCTCGGTGCGTGCATGTTCCTATTCACGTTCCCCAAGGCATCAATAATTCACCTGGATTCACGGCCTAAGCTCAGCCCACTCATCTGTGCTTTATCTATGTACCTTCGTTGACGGACCATGTGGACATCGGATCCCGAATCTGAATTTCGATATTTTGAGTACTCAAAAACTCGTTGGATTTTCCTTCTCTTTGGAATAAGCTTCAACTGTTGTGCTTATGCTACAAGCGGAAAATGTACCTTTGGAGTTGGGATTTCTAAAGCTGTATTTGGAATCTCTTAAGTACACGCCAAACACTCGTGAACTCTTGTGTACTCTGATGTGTCGGGAATGAGCTCAAAGTACATGAATGCCGAAAAGTTGTACTTCAGCTGCAAGCTGAAATCGGAGGCAGGAAGTGAAACTCAAATTATCTCAGAGATGAATGTTCGTCAGACACCCAACACTTCATTGACGAAGGGGATTTTGCTGTCAAACACAATTTGGGCCTGGCAATCTTGACTACGGTAGATAGGAAGCTGGAAAGAAACGCACACATGCTTCTCGAGGTGAAAGAATCTCAGTTGATGGTTGCTAAATTTTGTAGCTGGATTTAAGAAGAGAAGATTCTACTAGATCCGCTCACCTTGACAGAACAACTCAGGCATCTGATGGCAGGTGAGACGAGGCGGGTGAGCATGGGGTGTAGAAACTGTGGGCGGGAAGAAAGTAAGCTTGATTACAACTCGTTTTACCTGCAAGCCAAAGCGTGGGGGAGCACGAAAAACGCAGAACACAAACTCGTGAAACCCAGCGTGCTGGCTAAACTTTGAAACCAGTGCCCATACGCATGAGCCTGGAGCCGAGGACAAAACCCGTCCACCGGTGAGCTAATCGCACAGCATGCATGCAAGAACCTTTCATGATGTTTATTGTGAATCTCGAACGAGGTCCTGTCACCTCTCTGTCATTTGACATCCGTCTGTGTCGGCAGACGACCTCATGTGAACCAGCTCCAGTCGTTCGTACTTTTCCCTCTCATATTGGGATAAATCATAGTGCCAAGTGCACCATGCAGATCTGTTCGGAAGCTCATCATTGTCCGCAGCTTCAGGATCTAATGCCGATATCTTGCAATTCAGTTTCATGATGGCATAAAATCACGTCTCTTCCAGAATTGCGACGGTCGCTGACTGTCAAGCTTCCAAATATGACCTCCAGGACACCACAAAGTTCCCTGCGCGTCTGCAGGAAAAGCCCCACACGGAAAGCAAAGCAACTTGCTTTCCTGTGGAACTGTAGTGGAAAGTCTGTAATCTACAAGGCCCCCTCTGATGTCAGATGTATGGTCTCCAGATTCAGTCGTAGTCCCTGTAATTCGTCCCTCTGGCCTTCTTGACAAAATCAGCCCTTGCCATTGTCTACTAGTTGTACTAAAGGCCTGCAGAATATTTGCGCTTTCCAGTAAAGCGATCCGGCAACCCCAACCAAGACGACGGAACCTCCTCGAGCCTGGGCGAGGTTGAGTTAAATTCAGACCTTCCATTGCCAGTCACATCGCAGCGATTGAGGGCAGCAGATCAGAGCACAGTATAGCAGAGCCAGTCTGCCGCCACATGCCGACTGATTTGATCGACGAGACATCGACCTCGTCTGGCATCGACAACCCGAGTCATCCGACATTCGTAATCCCAAAGGTCATGATCAAATCGGGCAGGTCTGAGGCAACGCTAGCTTCAGCAGCTAGATTCACCTGTTGTATGTAGCTGGCATGGAAGCCGTATAGAGCAACTATTGGGAGAGAAAATAGGAGAGATTTGCTTGATGGTACCCTTGCGGAAAGTAATTTGGTTGAAAGTACCTCTCAGGTTTAGTTTTACCCGATAGGACCAAACGACTGGGTGCCGTCGACCATAGTTCTTGTAACTATGATTTGATATTTACAATGCGGGGATTGCAACCAGAGATCAATACCTGATTATAATTTTTGGTGGATTATCACGGGATAAAGATCGATTTTGCGCGAAGTGCAATTTGTTGTGCTTCAATTTTCCAGATCGCACCGATTCGGATTTCTCTGCTACTTCCCGTCTGCACCCTCCTTCCGTAACCCTGTGTGCGTACGTGATGAGAAGGTGGTCCAAGGTCAAGTCTTGCGATCACCCATTTGTGGCGAACAAATAAACTCCGGACGAGCATTTCTTTGCTCGTCACCTGGGGGAGTGGTGGCCTGGCCGGATACAAAATGACAAAATAAAAACGAGTGTGATGGAGGGCGAAGTCCACTCTATACGCGGGTGTGGTTAACTCGTTGCACTCTCTCTAGAACTCACTCGTTATTAGAACATGGGCGACGGTGCATCGTTCATGGGGTCCCATCAGGTAAAAAAAAACCTGAAGGGTCACATCAAGCAAATCTATCGAAAAAATAGTAAAAACTTAAAATGTAATCTAAACTATAAATTGCTTCATATCGAATTCCGTTAAAATATACAGTTTATAAAGTCTATATTGTAACCCCCAAAGATTCAAATTCATTTACTTCAAGTCAATGAAGAAGATTCATTCGAAACCTAAGCATATAAGATCTACTACTGTTCATTGTATCAAACCAGAGAGAAGATGGAGTATAAAGTTATACGGCACTGGAATATACTTCTTTGGGTTCTGAGATGCTACACCTCTCCATGATGTGATTGGAATTTGATTGACTCTACCTAGTACTACCTCAAACAGCGAGTTCTCTATATCGACAAACTGCTTCATTTGTTACCGTACCTTGGGTTAATATCAGATACTTGATCCAATTAGTTATTCCTCGATTTTTTTTTGTCTTCTCTCAGATTCTTACTACATATTTTTAATATAAGATTTCATATGTACCAATTTAGCTTGGAATATGCAAGTGGGTAACATCCTCTTACTCTATTTAATATCATTATAATAGATGTTGGATTAAAAGAAGCAAGATATGTTTGTTTATCAAACTCAAGCATCTTGATTCAGTTAACAAATATTATTTAAAATCATAACCTACATTATAATCACACTATGGAACTAATTTCATATACAAGCAGAAATGTACCACAATTTTATTTTAATTTTCAAATATATTAACCAATACACTCAACTTATAACAATGTATGAAAGGAATCTAAGTTGTATTCAAACCGACTTTCAATAAAAACTCTATAGATTGGTGCATCAGAACCAATTCAAGAATCTGCTACAATTCAATATATGGATTCAATATTTAATTCTTAGATATCATACAAAAACTAATTTGAATGTGACTATAAGCATTGATTTCTTAATCTATTATATTTATTCATGCATGAATGCATCTCGCCATCAAAAAATAATGAAGAAATAATAATGAATAATGCATTATTGAATCAACCTACATACTAGAAATAATATTTATGCTCTATTTGTGCTATGTGTTTTTTACACCTAATTTCATTGAAGAAAAATGAGTAGGTTTTGGATTGTGCTTGTTCATATTAAATTTGAGAGTTATTTAACTCTTGTTTGATATCAAATAATTCAATTTTAGTATTAATTTATTTTTATTGTTGATTTGAATATATCGGTTTTGATTCAAATTTTTGATCATATGGTGCACACAATAACGAATGTTTTTTCTTCATTTACATGAAGAAAAAAATCTAATTTTTAATGTTAAAGTTATATTATCATTAGTGAAAATGAATTGATGATACATTTTGAATTATGATTGAACTAGTAATTATTCTGAAAGAAAAGTAGTTAAAAAATTTTGTATGTGTTCAAGAGAACATAATGTGAAAACATGTCAAATTATCACAATGATAATGATTATATCTGAAATTCAAAACAATGTTACAAAGTAAGATTATCATATATATTCCTGAAAAGAAAAATATTATATATACAATTCAATAATTTATAGTATGTAATTTGGATATTCAAAATGAATTGTTTTGACTTTGAATTCATAATTTTAACAAAAAATTGAGTATGCATTTAGTAATGTGTGCATTTTCAAATCTAAATCTAAATTTTATTTTATTTTATTTATTTTATTTATCAATGTATCAATTATTGAAAATTATTTGAGATTTTTTCAACTTTATTTTAACTTCAAAAATTTTTCAATTAACTAATAGTAAAATTACACTTTGATCATACATTGAAGATCTACATTGTAACAAAAACGCATAATTGAATCTACTATGTAAGTTGAGTATGAAACAAAGTTTATAAATAAAATAAAATTTTAATAAATTTTGTTGAATCAAATTATAACATATATAATAATAACACATAAAATTGTGAATCAAAGCACTTCTTACACTAAAATACATAGACATAACGTTTTATGATTATCAAAATAACTAGTTATACATAAGAACTCAAACATTGATTATAACCAAAAAATGCATACATAAATTTTGTCCAAGAAAACAATACATTCCTATAGAATAAACAGGCAAGAAAAAACTTGGTTTATTTTTTGACAATCTGAACACTATATTTCTATTTTTTTGGTCAATTTTCAATCTCATCACATATAAATAACTTTAAGGGTTTGAACTTTTACATGTAGAAGACAAGATTAAGCACAAATTATTAAAAAATTCATCGATAATGCAATATGTATTATTCATGGATATATGTTTGGTCATTTATTTTGAGTATTTTTATTCGTCCAAACCATATGTTTACTCGTGAATTCAGCTTAATAATTTAGAGTGTATAGATTTTGAGTTTTGAATCAATCTACTTTGAGGTCACAATTTTTCATATCTCATCAAACACTTCGAGATGATGCTAATACAAGCCTCTAGTTTTCAGATGGCTCTTGTACGATTAGACACACGATCCCAAGACTTGAATTCATTGCTCAATCGCCGAACTCTCAGGGTGACGACAAATTCCAATGCCCTCTTGTAATGATAGACAAATACCAAAATGGAGCATAATGGTACAGATCCGTTCCCATGAGTACAGAAACAACCACAAAAGTCACGATTTGTCACAGAATAGCATTCTATTAAAGAGTTTCACTTCTAATACCAATGCCACTCCCAGAAGACACTACCCTTCTAGAGCCGAAGACCCATAGAGTAGTGCATAACCTCACTCACAACCTGAAACTTTTCCAAACAACGCCTGTAGGAATCGCTTGCAACTCCACACTTACATTTCAAGGAAAAAATTTCCCAGCATCGCATACATCTCAACTCACTGATCCGAATACTCAGACTCGAATTTGCTTAAATCCCAAGGAGCCTCAACTGCTCATGACACTCGAGCCAAATACTCACAACTCCTGATGCGGTAACTTCGACAAACAGGAGCGCACCGTGCCTCAGTCCTAGATCACACATCAGCGCAAGGACATAGTGGATATAGATTCACAATCAAAACAAGCCAATTGACAGAAAAGCACCCCAAGGAAAGAGCCTTGGGCCTCTTTATTCACAATGGCAACTCTAGGATATCAACCGCCTGAGGCGAATCGTTCTCAGGGGCTGTGCCGTACGATGTAACGGTTACAGCATCGTCTGAACTACTCTCTACTCCTAATCTACGCAACACGTTTACAATCTTGACTTCTACATTCTGGCATCGTCTGAACTACTCTCTACTCCTAATCTACGCAACACGTTTACAATCTTGACTTCTACATTCTGGCACGTCTCATTCAATTCGTCTGAAAATGAATTAACTAATTCTACAATCTATTTGTGCCTTGCGGATCCGCTGGTCTTTGCGCTCATCAGCCGTCGCTCGAGTTGATCTAGCTTCAACCGAATCCAATTGCCACATCGCGAACTCGTTCAGGCACTTCTCTAACCGCAATTTCAACACGTCGGTTGAATCCTCCCGCAGCTGTCGGTAGGCCTCCTCTGCCTTTTCCATTCTCCTTTGCGACTCTTCCGATCTCATCTCCGCCTTCCCTACCCCGCTCTCGTAACCGTCGACAGTAGGATTCAACCTTTAATTTACATTTGACCTCCAAAGACTTGGCCGACTCGCAATCTGTCAATTTCTTGGCCCAATCCGCTAACTCCTCCTCATGCTTCTGGTTTCCGGCCGACAGACTCGCTGATAGCTCCTCCGCACGTCAGAATTCCATCTCATACTTCGCTTCAATCTCCGAGATTTTCCTACGAAGATCTTCCTCCGCCGTCTTCGTATCTGCGAGTTTGCCCTGAAGTTCTTCGGCGATACGAGCTTCTTCGGCTCTTTGGGCTTCCAATGTAGCAAGTTCCTTGACATGAATCTTCTCTCGCTTCTCCGCAGTAATGATCAGCCGCTCCGATCTTTTGCTTGCCACCTCGTAAGCTTCTCTAGATTGCTTCAATCTCGCCATCAAATCCACTGTTACCTTCTGGATATTCTCATTGGAGATACGAAGTCCTCTACCGGTCTACTCCAACTCTGCACAGCGCCCGAATTCCTTCTCTAGATTCAGCTGCAATACTTCGCACTCAGTTTCCTTCTCCCGAAGCTGGGCTTCTCGCTCCCGCATCAGTGCAGTTGCGGACTCCCACTCCCTCTTTCAACCGCTCTCTTGAGCTTCGTCCTATTCCTAATCATTGGTACATAGAATCCTGGCTCCTCAGTTACAGCATACTTCACTCTCTTCCCGTCCAAGTACTTCAACA